TTTCCTTATACCCCCTTATAGACTAGCTTCGTGAATGAGGCATACTAGCGATTTGACTGACCATATTCTTATACATATATAATATTTAACTTTTAATTATAATACATATGTAAGATGTGTTTTAAACCTTTTAAAACTTTAAGCTTTATATAAATTTCGAAAAATTAAACTATTAATTTAAATTTAAAATAAACCAAATAACTAGATTTAATAATTATCTATTAATTAACTTTTAATTAATTTATTAAATCTTGTAAGGATTATCTTATCAAATTAAACAATTAATTTAATCCTAATCCTTATCCCTCTAAATTTCGAAAATTAGGGTAAAGGATAATTATCCAATTAATCCAATCAAGTAACAATTATCCAAAACAAGAAACCCTAAAAAATACTAAGCATATTTCGAAATTCAAGGGAGGAGGCTAGGGTTTTTCAAAACCCTAACCCTAATTTCGATTAGGGTTCGTGGAGGCTAGGGTTTTTTCGAAAAACCCTTTGAACTAAAAACCCTAAAAACGAAAAATGACCTTTTAGGGTTTAATAGCTATAAACCCTAATTTGCAGTTCAACCATTATAGCAATTCAATTTAAAACAAACCAGGCTCTGATACCATTGATGGGTTTTAGGTAAAAACAAATAAACTAGAAAACAATTCCTAAGTTCACATGCAACCTACTTTGGATCTATATTTTAACTATTGAACATATAACTTTGAATTGCAAACAAGAACCCTAGAGGAGAGAGGATATTTTCGAAATTAACCAACTAGGGTTTTTAGAGTTACATACCTTTCAATTGTTATAGCAAACAATTGGTGATCCTTTGATCTTGATCTTCTTGGAAGCCTAGCACTACGATTGTAATGCCTCTAATGGAATCACACCCAAGAGCTAGCAAGAAGGAAATTAGAAGGAGAGAGAGAGTAAGGTATGCAATTTTCGGCCCTAGGGTTTCACCAGGGAAGGAGTGGCCGAATTTAGTAGCTAGGAGGCTCCTTATATAGCTGAGGGATCTAGGGTTTAGGGAAAACCCTAGTGTTCCTTTGCTTGGGGCCTAAGCTAATCCAAAGGCCTTTTCCAAGCCCCTTGGACGAAATCATTAGGGTTTCCCCTATAGATTTCGTCCACCTCCTTCCAAGGAGGTTCTGGAACCTTCCACTCAACTATTAGATAATTGCAAACTAGTCCCTACACTTTATAATTAATACAATTAACCCCAAAATTAATTCTAATTAATTTCTGGATAACTATTAATTAAACCTTATGATTTCTAATTAATATATTAATCTTTTAACATATTAATAAATCATTTATATTAATTTATTAATCTTATAATAAATCAATACCTCTCCTTTCATAATTTCCTTGTCTAGTTGCTAGGTTTGAGGGCAACCCAAAAGGACTGTGCTGCTATCAATTCAAGTACATACCAATTATAGTTATGGGCTTAGATAGCTAATCCAACAATCTGCACCATCTGTCCTTCCAGAAGAGGAAGTTAGTGTATGAGCCTGGGATTAGAATGAACATGTCTTGATAGCAGATGTCGAGTTCTAGTAGTGATTTAATAGCTTTTGCTATGTTGCACCAAGTACCATTTTCCGTTTCTTTAGCAATACATGTGACTGGGTTTTGTTCAGGTTGTGAATGACATTAATGCACCTTTTCCATAAGCAATCGAGTCCATTTTTTATTTTCCACCACCATTTTGTTAATAATATGTTTTGTACCTTTAAAGTGCCGACTCCCAAGCCCCCATCAGATTTAGCAGCCACCACCTTCTGCCATGAGACCCAATGTATGTTTGCTTTGATTTTTTCTCCACCCTATAAGAATTTCCTGCGTAGTTTCTCCAATTCTGCAATGATGCCATCTGCTGCTTTGAAAATGGAGAAATAATAGGTTGGAAGGCTATTGAGAACAGACTTGATTAGAGTGAGACAGCCACCAAACGACAGTGTTTTCGCTTTCCAAATCGACAGTCTTGACTGAAACTTCTCAACTATCGGTCTCCAATGTTTTTTTAGTGACATGTTTGCCCATACAAGCACTCCAAGATATATGAATAGGAACGAGCTTTGGATACATCCTAACACATGTGCTTGTCTTTGGAGATCTTCACGTGGAATGCCAATTACAAATAATCTAGATTTCTGAAAATTGACTTTCAGCCCAGAACCGATATGGAAGCATTTCAAGATTCTTGATACTCATGACATCCCATCTTCCCAAAAAGATTACGTTCATCTGCATAAATAGATGTGAGATAGATGGGTCATTATGTGGAAGAGTTATACCTGAAATGAGATTCTTCTCCAAAGCACACTTTTGTACTTGATTCAGTCCTTCCATGGCAATGATTAAGAGAAACGAGGATAAATGATCGCCTTGTCTTATTCCTTTCGTAATATTGAACTCATCCGTCGGTGGCCCGTTAACAAGAACAAAGGCTCTCGAAGACTTAAGACAACCAAACATCCAATTTCTCTATTTGTTGCTAAACCTCATCTGTTCCATGATCGAGTCTAAGTAACTACAGTTTAAGGAGTCATATGCTTTCTCAAAGTCAATTTTGAACATAAATAGATTTTCTTTTGCCTTTTTTTCCAGGAATATATTTCATTTACTATTAACGGACCTTCAAGTATGTGTCTCCTACTTTACCATGTATAGAAATTTAATAATTTTGTTTAATGACATATCAACATTAAATTTGTTTAACCCCAACCACAAAATACTTGGTTTCCGGCCTAAGCATTGGGGAAATGGAACTAGTTCATTTTCGTGCTTTAAAATGTGTCTTTTTGATACTTCACACAAAAATTGATTATTTTTTGCATGTTTTTCGTGCTTTAAAGTGTGGGGTTTAACTTTTAATTATTTGACACATTAAGGGTAAATGTATATTATACTATTATTTTCAGCGGCGGGACACAAGCACTAATACTAGGGGGGCCGAGATACCAAAGGCAATGAATAAGTATTATTTTTCAAAAGCTAATGTTTGTTGTTTTTGTTTAGTATTATGTTATTAGAATTGAGAAACAAAAGGTTTTGGAAATGAGTCAATATATGTTCATCCATGTTATTGATCAATTCCATTTTTGCAACACAAATTACATAAATTACAATCGTTAGAATGACACTCATTCTCTAGCAAACTGAGAATTATAAATTTGACAATCTTAAAATGTCAATAAAGTAATTAAATTAAGAAAGAAGTATATTATAATTAGTCTAAACTTTAACATACAACAAAAAACCAAATAAAGTTAATAAAGAAGTCGTATTCTCTTATAAAATTAACTCAAAAAAAGGGTTAATGTTTTTTTTATATTTTGCTGTTAACCAACAAAAAAGCTAAGATATTTTCTAACATATTGATAGAAACTAAAAAAGCAAAACCTGACAGAAGAAAGGTAGTTTTCTATCTTCTACACTTATTATTACACAGACACACACATTTGAATAACAACAAAACAAGAGCCCATTAATAATACATCATGACAAATAATAAAAACACACCAGAGAGGAAGATGCAAAAGAAAAATCTTTTTTGTTCAACAAGGTTCTGTTTCAAGGTCTAATATTGGATATAATCTTATTCTTCTTTCTTTTTTGATTTTTAATGATTCTTTTCGGAATCATATCTTAGTTTTTCACAAAATGAACTAAATCTCAGTTTCATATCATATAGAAATTTATATAGAATTTTTGAAAAAGACTTTCGAAAGGAAAGACTTACTATAAATTGCAATAGAAAAGAAAAAGGGAGGTTTGTGATGATTTTGAAATCTTTTCTACTAGGTAATCTAGTATCCTTATGCATGAAGATAATCAATTCGGTCGTTGTGGTCGGACTCTATTATGGATTTCTGACCACATTCTCCATAGGGCCCTCCTATCTCTTCCTTCTCCGAGCTCACATTATGGAAGAAGGAGAAGAAGGAACCGAGAAGAAGGTATCAGCAACAACTGGTTTTATTACGGGACATCTCATAATGTTCATATCGATCTATTATGCGCCTCTAGTTAAAAATGAATTCAAATGATTCATGGATCGGGATGGCGGAACCGACCAGAAACCAATTCATCTATTCGGAATATGAAAGAGAGGGAGAGCAAATCACGTACAGTGAGAGTTCTAGACGGCGAGATCTCCAACTAGAGATGGTTCGTAATGTGTATTCGGTCACACACACATGGGGGACAGGAGATGGTTTCCGGCAGTGACTAGAGCCATCTCTAAGGCGGCGATCGGAGACTTGAGTGTCGGGTTAGGGCTTTTAGTTTCTCATTTTAGCTTTTTTTTCTATTATTAGTGGGGTTTATAAAAGTTTAGATGGAGTAGGATTTGTGGGCTTTTTGAATATGGGTAGTTTAAACGGTGATTAGGATTTGTAAAGTTTTGATTTTTAGATTAAAATTACTATTTTTTTATAAGTTTTATTTGGTTAAAGAGTTATAACGGTTTCCTTTTCAAAGCTAGAAGTATCATCTTATATTTGTTTTTTTTTATACAAACCATGTTTAGATCTATCATGTTCTTGGTCAAAAAAGTTGGGCCATGGCCCCCCTGGCCCCTTAGTAGTTCCGCCACTTGTTAAAACAATTATTTTTATATCTTAACCTGAAATTTTATATTTCTTAATGTTTTATACAAAAAGATACACCTTTTCTCAAACATAAAAAAAAAGAAAGAATCCATTATGTTTTTTCTCAAGGTTTATGCAACCAAAATTAACAAAGGGGATAATATATAACGAAATATTTATATCAAGTATTATTTTTTAGAACGAAACGGAATTTTATTAGAAAACAAGAATACAAAAAAACACAAAACTAAACACTAGGAAGCCATGATTAAGCGTTATTATTTTAACGTAGGATACATGAATATAAGATTGAACAAGGACTTGTTTATTATAAGAGCGCGCAACTATTAACTAATGATGTATAAACATCCATTCCCAGTTGTTTATTCCATTTTGATCAGCTTAGAAGCTGTCAACGAGCGTAAAGTTGAAGCTTGAGCAAGAAGTCTGCTTACGTAACAAGGAAGAACTAAACCCAAAAGTCGAATTCTCCAAATCAAATACCAGGAAGTTATCCTCCATCTGAAAGGTCCCGATCACGATTGCAGGTTCACTTGTTGCACCACCATCAACAAGCGCCAGACATGCCACATCTTTCGTTACCTGCTTAATCGAGTTAGCGGAGGACATTGTCCACTTCTTTCCTTCCGGGAGACTAAAATCAATATCAGGAACTCTTAAACCACCTTGGGTGCTAAAGCAAAGACCAAAAGGTGGGACTGGTTTTGCAGTAGGAATACGCTTTGTAACCATTGAAAACCTTCGAATCACAGGGTTATAAATGTCTGTTCTAAGAATGGTGTAAGGGTCAAGTGTACTAATCTTGGTAGTGGCATTTGCGGGAATATTAATGGATCTCTTTTTTATTACAATGTTATTGACACCTATAAAGTATCCGAAAGAATCCGGACGCTTTATCAATGGAGTATAAGAAAGATAACTTCTTACGTCGACATCTGATTGTGGAAGAAGGTAATAAGGACTATTCCCATAAAACAGAACCCCAGGAGTAGACAACGTGCTAGGTAAACATAAACCTACGACCTTTTTAAGTGGCTCAAATAAATAAGCTGGTAAAGCGTAAGGTGATGAAGAAAGTGCCATGACACCAGTAACATTTGCAGGAAATGATTGAAACGCCGAAGAAGGAGCACATGCAGCATTAGGGTAAAAACCGTAACTTCCAGTAAAAACATTTTTACCGTTGCTTGTGTTCACTGTGAAATCATCATAGTTGAGCATGGCTTGCCCACAAGATCCAGTAATGGGGTCAACCACATTGACTGGACATGTACAATATCCCCAACCAGGTAACGTCGAGCTGTTGTCTGGTGGAGAGCAATAAGGCTTCTGATAAGAGTAAGAACTTCGTACATCTGTGCATTGAAATTCTTCGCAAGAAACTGGAGAGGTGCAAAGCGTGTTAGCTGGACAACTTCCTGGATATATGTTCCATTGAATGATACAATCGTGCCATATGAAAGGAGCATCGATGTCAATAAGGAAGTTTTCATGCAAATATTGCATGTTTACGTATGTTGTCATGATCTGAACGCTATAGAGAGGCTTAGCGGCATCGGTATGTTTATGTACAGGAGCAATTACGGAAGTGTAAGGCGGTACATATGCCGCTATGGCTTCATGTTCATGAGAAATGAAGGTTAAAACGATAACGATTATTTGTAGAGGCAAAAGCATTTTCGAATGTTAATTTATCTATTCTAAGAGTAATTTCTGAAAGAACGTGGAACTGATTTATATAGACCTGCAAATCCTTCGTGTAAAACCTATCTATTTGGAGGTCAACTAATGATGGCAGATGGATGATTTACCTAACGTACGTATCGTTACTGAAATCTTGATTCGTTTATTAGAAAAAAAGACAAAATTTCAAAATTGATCTATGTGACTTCCAAAATATCTGGCTTCGAACTATTAAAAACAAAATACGTACTTGATCCATATGGTTTCAACTTTTTTCGTGATTGCTCCTTCAATTATTAAAAATGACTGAAATCCCCATTTAGATTTATTTTAGTATATTTTTAATATATTCTTTAGTATATTTTTTAATATATCATTTCAATCGCTTCCTCACGTCGACCTCCTTCACCGATTCATCTTCTTAGCTATTGCTAGTCGTCACCACCTTCTTCCCCTTTCTATCCTGTTAATTTGTTGGTTACTTAGCCCTATATCACTATATCCAACTATGAGTTTTTGGTAATAATAGGATAGTTTTGAGAATGGTTGGTAGAAATAGAGCAGTTTTTTTTTTCTTCGTAGAAATGGGTCTTTTTTGTTGAGGCCCCACCGATTACGTCCGTTCCAAAATTTTAGAATTCCACAAACATTGAATGTTACATTTTTAGTTCTCTAACTTACATCATTAATTTTTTGTTAGTTTTTATTAACAAAAACTTTAGTTTTTACTCCTATTATTAAAAATATATAATTAAATTCTAATTAATATTTTGAATAACTTATACCGTTAATATAAAACTCATAAATATGAGAGAAGTCAAAAAACTCAAACTTGAAGCTTGACAGGATTTAAAACAAATCAATAAAAGTAAGTGGTGTATTTTATATGATGAAAATCGCAGATGGGGTATCTTGACAACAAATATCTCTGAGAGTATGAACAATGCGTTTTGGGGAGCAAGACATCTACCGATTAGGGCGTGTATTGACCTTACATTCGACATAATCATACAACTTTTTAGAAAGCATAGTAATGTTGCAATGAATTGCAATACACCTCTACCATCACGTATGTGACGTCTATTTTGTAACCGGGACACTCGTGCACATAACCATAATTTAACCGAGTTTGATCACAATGAAGACGTCTACAGAATTGTTACAAAGTTACAGATAAATGACACCGGAGGAAATACGCAAACTGTCCATTATTTTCAACAAACATGCACATGTGGAAAATGGCAAATGGAAAGATTCCCGTGTTTTCATGCTCTTTCAGTTTGTCGGTATAGAGGGGATAACCCTCTTTCTGTTGTGAACAATGTGTACACTACAATGACATATAAACATCAATATAATTCTTCTTTTGTCCAGCTTTCTCATGTTGATTATTGGCTAGAGTCAGATTGGAAGATTCAAGCAGATTACTCGAAACTTTCTGTTCATCAAGGTCAGAGACGTTCAAACCGTTTTCGTAATGAGATGGACATTCGCCACCCCGACGAACCTCGCAAATGTGCACTATGCCACCAATCTGGTCATAATCGTAGAAATTGTTCAAATTCTCAACCAAGATACAATGTCATGTGAAGTATGTACTTTTATTAATTTATGTTTAAATGTGTGCTTAATTTATGTTTAAATGTGTGCTTAATTTATATTGTTGTTTAATGCCTATTTAGTAATGTAATGTCATATTTAAATGCTTTTGTAATTTCGTAACAATGTAATATATTCAATATTGGTGTTTTATTTGAAGGTGTTGATTATATTTATTTAAAAATGTAATTTCCTAAAATAATACATGAATATATTCTTAAATAAAGTAATTATTATATAATATATAATTTGAATAAAGTAATTAATGTATAACTATAATAAGGTTAAAAGATAGAGTTTTTAATAATAAAACTATATAAAAAAGAATGATATAAACTAAAGGACCAAAAATGTAAAATCTGAATTTTATTTATTTCGTACGTTGATAAACCTGTGGGCCCTCCAGCAAAAACACCTATTTTTACAAAGGAAAAGAAAACTACCCTATTCCTACCGGTCAATTTCAAAAGCACCCTGTTTTTACCAAAAACTCATCCAACTACTTGTTTGAAGGTCTGCATCGAATTACTTGTTCATTTTGTCCCTTGGTTTCACTGTAAGAAGCCCTAGACCATTGTATCAAAGTCTTTGCTCCGTTTATCAAGATGAAGGTATGCATTAAATTGCTTGTTGAACTTTGGAAATAATTTTTTGTTTCAAGATGGAGGCTCACATCACGAAGATTTGATGTTGAAAGTTTCAAATAAAACTCACACACACTAGAAAACATGGAGTTTTCCTACGGAAAATAGCTATGGAAAATTTCCGTAGCTAATTAGCTACGGATCAGCTACAGAATGGGATGCCCTAATTTAGTAACGACATAGCTACGGAATAGCTACAGATGCTAATCCGTAGCTATTCTGTAGCTAATTAGCTACGGAATGGCTACGGAATACCTGCGGATACTAATTACTTACGGATTAGCTACAGAGTATGTTTTCCGTTAGAATTTCATAGCTAATCCGTAGTTAAGTAGCTACGGATTAGCTACGGATTTTTCTTATTTTCGATTTTTCGGACATCAAACGTCGTTTTTTTCGCTTCGTTTTTTTCACACCTCTACTATAGATGATTATCTATATTTTCACCAACTTATAGATATTAATATCATTCATAAAGTCGTGTGCCCCTTCGGGATCAAGTACTCGTTTCATAGTTTAACATGATAATGCATATACTTTTCACCAACTTTGTGATGGATTATGTTTGTATATGTATATTTATATACATGAATGAGTTGTGGTATATATGTACGTGTATATGTGTATGTATACGTGTTTGTGAGATGTATGTGAACGTATTCATAAGCATTATAGTGTTAAACCACTAAACAAGTAATGGATCCCGTATGTGCACACAACTTTATAAATGATATTAATAGCTATAAGTTATAGAAAATATAGATAGTCATGTATAATAGAGGTGTGAAAAAAACGGAGCGAAAAACGAAATTTGGTGCTCGAAAAATCAAAAATAAGAAAATATCGTAGCTAATCCGTAGCTAATTAGCTACAGATTAGCTACAGATTTTTCTTATTTTCGATTTTTCGCGCTCCAAAGTACGTTGCTATAATAAACTAAAGTACATTGCTATTATTGTTTAAGTATTGAATTGTGTTACCATTTTTTTAGGTTGATATGTTACGTGCACAAGTTTCTACCATGGAACAACAACAACAACAAATGAAAGAACAAATGGAAATGGTTATGAGGATGATGAATATGTCTTCAAATCAACCCTGTGCTCCCCCCGATAATCCACCTGAGGACAATTGATAAGTATTTTTGAACAATTGAATTTGTAAACACTTGGTATTGTTTATTTTGTTAATTAGTGCTTACTTTTGTATTATATTTTGGACAATAGAATGAAATGTGTCAAACTTGGTATTAGGGATGTTTTTTGGTGTATTTAATTTTGTATTTGGGACAAATGTGACTTGAATGTGGTATTTGACAAAAAATTGGAAATTAAAATTTTTTTTTATTATAAATAAAACGAAGTTAGCTACGGAATAGCTACGGATTTCTGTAGCTATTTAGTTTCGTAGCTATTCCGTAGCTATTTTGATCCGTAGCTATTCCGTAGCTATTCCGTAGCTATTCAATTTCGTAGCTATTCTGCAGGAAATCCATAGCTATTTATTTACGTAGCTATTCCGTAGTTATGATAGCTATGGAAAATTCCGTAGCTATTCCGTAGCTAATCCGTAGCTATAATTTTCCCGTGGGCCATTATGTTACATACATTTTTCCGTAGCAATTCCGTAGCAATCCGCTTATAGCTACGGAATAGCTACGGATTGTGCTGTAGCTATTGCATCAGTTTTCTAGTAGTGTTGAAGCTTAGATTCATTTTCTTCAGCACTAGAAACAAGCATCTTTATCTTAGTAAGTCTAGTTAATTAATATGAAGCCTTGTAGGCGATTGGGGGCTTAAGTGTTAATCAGAGCAACACATGCAACTAATTGCCAATTAAAAATCTTTGTACGGAGAACTATTTTGGAAATTTAAAGATGACGATGACTTGAAATTTTCGGGTGCATTCTTGTTCGGTTGCTCTATATTCTTTTTTCCAATCAAATTGAAAAGATGACAAGATAATTGATCTCAAGAATTTCTAGCTTCGCTATTGTTCTGTAGTTATATTTTCCCCCTTTCCATCTTTCATCTTTGTGTTCCAAATAAAATCGATAGATTTTCATATTTCCATTTTTGTTTTATGATTCTTTGCATGCTATCGTTTTCAGTTTATTGCCACATGATGTTTGCTATGTTTTTGTCTATAATTTTAATTTTTGATGCAATAGAGGTGGTGGTGGATGTGGAGGGTGATAAGAGAGAGGTAGAGAGGGGGGGGGGGGGGGGGGGGGGTAGGGGAGAGTTGTCGGAGGCCTTATGATTTTTAATATGTGTTGTTTACCTACGGTTTAATATTAATATATATTATAAACAAATAAAAGAAAAAGAAAAAGGGTAAAAAGGACATTAAGTTTATATGGGTTTCGACCTGTAAGATTTTGAAACTATAAGAAGCATGTGGTGAATATTTTTCATAATTGTCCTTAAAATGACACCTTCTAAAAATCATAGGGACTTTTGAAATTTTGTCTAAAAAAATAAAAATAACGATTTTCATTATTAGACTATTTCTTTGGACAAGTAATTAGAGGATTGTTTATTTATGCTCGGGGGCAAAATGGATTTTCTTTGTACACACCAACCTACTCCACACACCAATCTAACCTTTAACTTATTTTTAATCATAACCTACTTTGACCATAAATCTTGGTTTTAACTATTTCCAATAAGGTTAACACATAAAACTTTATCACAAATTCACACTAATATGCACATGTACATGCTTTGTAATTTCATTTTGTAACTTTTT